AAATGTCATAACACACATCACAAACAATCATAACATTAATCATAAAAAATCATAACTTTTTTATAATGTGCACCATTTAAAAAGTACACATGGTAAATTTTCCCATAAATTTTTTATACTAACATAAATATAAATCAATCACAATAAATAAATAAATAAAAAGGAGATGCCATGCGGAAATACTTCCCAATGCAATAATTATTCATATATTTCACATAAATATCAGATAAATATATAAAATTGTAACCCTTTCACTTTTGTATGTTCTTGTATAATGTAGAACTAATTTTAAATAATTATCTAACCAATTCATAAGTTGTGACAAAGGGAAATTTTACTTTGGACACCCATTTTTCAATGCTAACAAATAATTTTTTTTGTAATTTCAGGTAAGTTTCTATATGTTCATTTTATTAGTTTGATGTTAAATTGGTTGACAAAAATTGTAATGCAAGGTAGTCGCATTACAATTTTAGTTAAGTAATTTAACATTAAAGTAATAAAAGAATCATATAGTAATTTAACTAAAAGTGTAAAAATTAATTGTTACAATTAAAAAATAATAAATTAAAATAAGATTTCCAAATACAATTATGCGATGGAAAGTTGATTAAAAAATAATAAATCATAACTTTTTTGTTTTGTTTTTTTAGAGGGAGCTTGATACTACCAGGAAAATAGTTAAGGCATCTAATAAAACTCTCATAATTTCACTGAAAATGATGTAAAATGATAGGGGTTAACTTTAATTTGTCATATATTTAATTATGTGGAGTTTTATTACCTTGCCACATCATAAGGGTCTCAAATATGGATCTTTACCACTACTCGAAACCACCACAGTTTCTTGCAAAATCTTAAAAAATAAATAAACAAATAAATAAAAAGAGGCTTGGGTTCAACTAAAACCCAATTAAAAGGCTTCCCAAAAGTAAAAGGCCAGCTGAGTTGGGTTGGGTTGTGGTGGTCCTATCCTATCCTTATCAATCCTAAGCCCAACTCTCTTAATCATGATTCAATAACCCAATCCTCTTGATTTTATGTCGGTGTTACAGGGTTGCATTGGTCGATGTCGGTGGTACCATAGATATTTATATGGACGGGACGGGAGAGTACGGTTAGAGTTCGTGAAATTCATCGTAAGTCTGATTTAGGCATAGTTTGGGAAGTTGATTTTGATGGGTTAGGGATTAAATAAGTCACAAAAAAATAAAATAGGTTATTTTAGTCACAAAAAATAAAATATCAAATCCAACCCATAATCATTACACTCCTCTCTCACAAAAAAAGTTAAAAAGCCTTTCCCAAACCAGGCTTTTTAGCTCCCGGCTAAAAAAGTCAAAAAGTCAAAAAGCCAACCCACTTTTCAAACGGAGGCTTAATTTATTTTATCAATTATGATAGAGATCTATATATATATATATATATATATATATATAATTTTTATAACTCTCACTTTCATTTCAATTATTCATAATGTTAGGTCCACACATACATGAGTGGACTCCATACACACATCAAGGGCCAAGATCAAATTAGGAGTCATAGAACCTTCAAAAAGGGAGTCCCAAACATTTCTGTTATTTTATATATAGATCTGAATCGTTCTGTGTATATTATTTATATAAAAAATTGATCATAAAGGTTTTTTAAAAAATAAACTATTCATATTTTTTTAGATTAATTATCAATACATCTTTTGAAATTTGTTTAAAATAAGAATTGCTTCTTATAATTTTAAAAATTACAAATACTTCCTTATCAAAATGTTTTTAACATAATTAACAGAAAGAATAAATTTTTTTAACTAATATCCTTTACAAAAATGCAATAGAAGAATTGTTAATTAAAATATATTTTTGACATCATTAAAAAATGTTAATTGACTTAATAATTTATTAATAAAACGGGTCATTTGTTATACGATTAAAAATTTGAAATGGCAAGATGTAATTTTTAGAATCATTAGGGGCAATTTGGATATTAAGCAAACATCAAGGGGCGTATTTTTAATTAATTTTTTTTTTTTATAACAAACATGATAAATTGAAGAGATTATAATTTTCGAATTGACCTAATTTTGTGTTGACAATATACACAAAATATCTTATAAAATTAACAATTCAAATCATTGAAAAAGATTCATGAAAGATTTCATGAGCTCAGACAAAGCCCTTCAATTCAAATCTGAATTAGAAAGAAGTCAAATCAATATGTAGGATAAGAATAATGCTTGGGACCCCCTTTTTGGGGTCACCCCCTCACCCCCCCTTTGCCACGTGGCAGGGGATGATTGGTGGAGCAGGAAAAAAAAGAAAAAGAAAAAGAAAAGGTAACCAATGAGAGAGAGGGGGGGTCAAAGGGGGTGGGGGAAAATGGGGGATGAATCATTACTCTGTAGGATAAATTTCACTTTGCCTCTTTTTTGTTTAATCATTTTCTTACTTTGACTCTTAAAATTTATTTTTTTCACTTTACCAGTTTATGTTTCATGGTTTTCCCTACTTACTCCATAAGCAAACTTATGTCCAAAATTAGACATAAAATGATATATTGATAGTCACATAACATAAAAATATTTCATATATATAATTCACACTTCTAACACAAACTTAAATCCCAATATAATATATTTTTATATTATAACATGAGAATTTCGGCTTAATTTTGGACAGAAATTAATTTTTGGATTAAACTGGAAAAAATTTGAAATATGAATGACAGAGTGAGAAAAAAAAAATCAAGGGCCAAAATAAAAAATAAACAAATATAAAGGGGCAATTTGTAATTTACTTATATATATAATATTTCAAGGCGGCCACTTTAACACGTAAAAACCCTAATTAGGGTTTGTGCATAGTATATATAAACCCAACATCTTCATGTACCCATCTAACCTATTCAGAGAGAGAGAGAGAGAGAGAGAGAGGCCCAGATTGAGAGAGGATAGACTTTGGTTTTTGCATAAGCCATCCAATCATGCTAAGTTGTGGTTTCGCCAAAAACAATCAACAGATTGTTTGGATGGTATGTGCAAAATACTACTGTCTTTTTCTCTTTTCATTAGCAAGATGAAGATTGCATATAAATATTAATTTACTCCCCTCATCTATGAACTCGTTTATATTGATATTTTCAATTATAAAAGTGGTGTAAATATACCTCTTAGAAGATACAATTTTATAATTGAAAGAGTCAAAATGTACGGGTTCATAGATGAAGAGATTAAAGTAATATTTGCTAATAGTTGAGCAACATACAATATATATATATATATATATATATGTGTGTGTGTGTATGTGTGTGTATGTGCATACATAAGGTATCCTCTGAATTCATTGAGATTTTAGTGGATTTTTTTTAATATTATTATAATTCATTTGTGCTAGAAATAATGTGTTTTGATATATTAAAAATTAGGAAATTTGATTTATAATAATTTGTGCTAAAATTAAAAATTTTGATGTATATAATTTATTTTGATTTTTTAAAAAAGTTTAAAAAGATTAAAAAAAAAAAAAACTATGAAAGTTCACCAGAAAATTTTTGTAACAAATATTATAGTTTTCTCATGTTTATCTTTTCAAAAGGTTTTTATTATTTTTTTTGAATCTTGAGAAAAAAAATTTAAAGTTGTGATTCATAATTGTGCATCTAAATTAATTTTTTGGCTCCTTAAAATTTCATGTGTACTTGTGTCATTGTATGGTCTTTGTATAAGTTTTGCATGAAAGCAAAAATGCACTTCCACATTAATCTCTAAAGTTTTGGTTTGAATGAAAATATACAATGAAAGGTGAACATGGTGCTATGATATTAGTACAAAAAGGTTTGAATGAAAATATGCATGAAAGGTGACCATGGTGCTTTGATACCTAAACACCCTCTTTCAAACATAATTGAAAATTTATGTATAAAATAAAGTCATATTTTTAATTATATTTAAAAGAGGGTGTTTTTGTTTCTTTTGAAAACCGCCCAAATTTTTATTTTCAAATTTCAAATATTTTGTGAAAATAAATAGTGAAGAGTTGCAAAATTTTTCATTGCTTTAGTTTTTATTTTCACTTGTTTTTTGTTTTTTATTTTTTGAGATAAATATGATAAAATAAAATAAATTATCAAATATACACAAAGAGAATAGTCTAATAAAATGACTAATTTGAATCATCCGAACGATACTTGTAGACATATATTGACAATTTCATAAGATTTATAATTATGAAAATAAGAAATAATCATTTTATTTTTCTAGTAGCGAAGTGATTGAGATATTCACATGGATGAGCATCAATAGCATTGTTTGACAAAGCAGGTTCAATCATAATAATAATAATAAAACTAAAGCCCCGTTTGGCATATAACAATTTTAGCTTAAAAGTCAAAATGTTACTAAAAAAAGCTTATAAACTATACCAAAAAGTCAAAAAATTCATTTTTTTTTTTCTACTTTTTGCACATCTTTTAGTAAAAAATCAAAAAATCATTCCAAACATACTAATTTTTTTTTCCTAAACTAAAAAATTACTACACAAAGAGAATAGTCTAATAAAATGACTAATTTGAAAATAAGAAATAATCATTTTCTTTTTCTAGTAGCAAAGTGACTGAGATATTCACATGGATGAGCATCAGTAGCATTGTTTGACAAAGCTGGTTCAATCATAATAATTATAAAACTAAAGCCTCGTAACACTTTCCACTTAAAAGCGAAAAAGTTACTAAAAAAAACCTATAACCTATATTAAAAATCAAAAATTTCATTATCTTTACTTTTTACACATTTTTTAGTAAAAAATTAAAAAATCATTCTAAACATACTAATTTTTTTATGTAAACAAAAAAATTATTAAAATAACTTGTTCCCAAACGAGACCTAAATCACACATTAATATTTTTTCCCCAAAGTTTTTCTACGTATGTTGAAGTACAAAAATTAAAGAGGGAGAAGGGGAAAAATATTTTGAACAATGAAGACGGATGATTTGCTTGCATGCCAGTGAAATAAAACTTGGCCCCAAACAGGTTTGAACCTATTCATAAACCAAATCACAAATAATAATACACTTGGACTTATATGGTTCCAAGTACACCAATCCACAATTAATTATATTCTTTTCATTTTATGGAAAATTATCAAAATATAATAACTTGATCTAACATTACTGACAATTTGAAAAACATTAAATTCAAATTATGTTCTCACGGATCCTTAATAAAACAAAAACAAAAGGGAATCTCTCACCTCCGAGCAAATCTCTGCCCTGCCCCAAGCAACAAGGCTTTTCCGATCACACCAGTCTGAAGCCCACAAACTACAGCCACGGCCCCACCTATAGCTACCCATTTCCAATCAAAGCCGCCATTATCTCCAGTGAGTCCCGCTGTAAACGCTCTGCCTTTCTCATCTTCATTGGAAGAAGTTGGCTCCAATGCAATCTTTGTGGTCTTACCTGCCATCACTGCACTTCGGGACAGTGGGTTCTCTGATTTCCTTGCTTGCTGATATGCTCTGAAGCCAGAGTGCAACTTCTTCACCGTTCCCCACATCCCGTGACGGACTCCTAGCTTCGCCACATCTTTGGGGATTCCCATGTCCTCGTAATGTACGAGAGTCACCTCACAGGCTGTCATCTGTCCATCTCCTCTACGAGATTGCACTACATCAAGTATGCAAATATATCGATCAAGAAACTGACTGATGAAAGTGTCAAAAGCATCACATGATTATTTGAAACAAGTGATTATTATTTGAAAATGTTTACCAGGCTTGATAACCCAGCTTGAGAAATACAGATCCACACGCCTTGGCTTGTCACTCCTCTGCAAAGCTGGATATGGCACCCCCTGCATTATTGCAATTTGTGTGTTAATAGCCATAGTCCATGTAAAAATAAATAAACAGATAAATAAATAACAAACAATAAATAAATAAATAAAAATTGAAAGAATAAAAAACAAAGAGTTGTCTCAAAATTAGGATGAAATATGATTTTCCAAAGAAAAACACTATGTACTGCGGCATAGAGGGTACATCATCAGGATATAAAAAATAGATAACAAGTCAAGTCTTTTTAGTTCAACATTGGGCCCTGAATTGGCAGATCCTCAATTATGAAACATTTCCACCTCTTCAATGAAAAGTAACAACCCAAGCTGCATCACCCAAATAATTTTTAATAAATAATTAACAAAAAAGTAAATGAAGTAACCAAACACTACAAATGCAAACAATCCCAAAAATGAAGTAGCCTTTGGGAGATTGAAAAAGGGACAGACAAAACCCTAGTTTCTACATGCATGTCATCTGTTAATTATGTAATTATGAAAGTCATATATTAACTGTTTACCAGAGAGCCAACTGAAGAAGTCCCATACATATTAGCAAATGCCAAGTAGTTGGAATTAAAGAAACGCTTATTAGTGTTTAACAAATGAATCAGGATATTTTTTATTTTATTTATAAAAATTAAGGCCTATGTGAAGATATAACCGTACAGAAAGCACCAGCAATATCATTCTCTCTGTGAAAAAATAATATGTCAGAATATCCTAATTCTATGATTACTTGCGATTAATTTCAATCTCACAAACAAGTCAGAATTAATTGCTTGATAATCAAAATTTCTATCTAAAAATAAATGCAAGAAGGTTATTTTAAGGGAATCAAATGGCAATAAGCAAAGTAATCCAAAATGGTCATCCCAGCATAAAAAAAAATTCACTATGCTTGGTTATCATTTTTCAAAAATACTTTTCAGAAAATTCTACTTTTTTATTTTCCTTATTTTTTTGTTTTTACTGAATTTTTTTAATATTTTGAGCATTTTTTAAAATTTTTAGACATACCTAACATAAATATATCTAAAAAGTAAAAAAAAATTGAAAAAAATATTTTAAAAATTCACTAAATACCAAAAATACAAAAAAAATATGAGAATTCAGTACATTTTTTGTATTTTTATGTATTTATTAATTTTTAAAAATATTTTTTCAGAAATTTTTTACTTTTTAGATACATCTAAGTAAGGCATCTAAAATAGTAAAAAAAATGTTTAAAATTTTAAAAATATTCACTAAAAACAAAAAAAAAAACACAAAAACCAAAAAACTCAGTTTTCAAAAAACTTAATTCAAAAAACTCAAACCAAACACACTGATTAAAATTTCAAGTATACAAATACATGATTAGGATATAAAAAATATAAGTTATCTAAGTCTTTTAATTCAACATTGGGCCCTAAATCAGCAGATCCTCAATTAGGAAACATTTCCACCTCTTAAATGAAAAGTAAAAAACCAAGCTGCATCAACTAAATAATGATTATAGTAATAATTTTTAATAAATATCAACAAAAAAATAAATTAAGTAGCTGTAACCAAACACGACAAATGCAAACAATCTCAAAAATGAAGTAGCCTTGATAGATTGAAAAAGGGACAGACCAAACCCTTTGTCACATCAAAGATTTAGTTCTACATGTACGTCATCTGTTACTTATGTAATTATGAAAATCATATATTAACTGTATCACCAGAGAGCCAACTGAAGAGGTCACATCCATATTAGCCAATGCCAAGTAGTTGGAATTAACACTTGTTAGCGTTTAACAAACAAATCAGGAAATTTTTTTTCATAATTAAGGCCTATTTGAAGATATAACCACACAAAAAGCACCAGAGTCTCTCTGTAAAAGAATAATATGTTAGAATATCCTAATTCTATGATTACTTGCAGTTAATTTCAATCTCACAAACAAGTCAGAATTAATTGCTTGATAATCAAGGTTTCTATCTAAAAACACATGCAAGAAGGTTATTTTTAAGAGAATCAAATCGCAATAAGCAAAGTAATCCAGAATGGTCATCCCAGCATCAAAAAATTAAAACTTCCAAGTATACAAATACATTACTGTAAAAGATAGAAGTTGAAGTATTTTTTACATCGCAAGAAGCTTCCAATAACATAAGCATTTGTTTAGATATTCGACATAATGGATTAAGGTCCTCCCAGAAGTTCCACGGCATAAATCAAAATTATTGGTGCACTAGTGAACTATTATCAGGTTCATATTGGCCCATGTATCTGTGGAACTAGTAACCAGATGTGCAAAGTGTGCTAAAGTAGCAAGTGGATTGCTTGGAGTTGGCATCCCCCAACCAAAAAAATAAATGAATAAAAAATAATAAAAAAAACACAAGCTTGCAAAAGTGAAAAGATAATTCAGGTTTTCCCATATGAAATCAATTTGCCCAAGTCATGCTTATACTCGTTGAGTTTAAATTTATGGTTGACTCATTCTTGCCATTGAATTTGGTAAGATGCATTGATTGCACCTTCACAACCCCTTTCCCTCTTTATTCATGCAGCCATGGAAACTACTGCTTAGGATAGAGCAAGATGTTGAAACTTAAAAATTAATAGCTTAAGAAATTAGTACCTTTGTCACGCAATAATACGTCTTTCCATCTTCCCATATTCTTCGACCAATGATATATTCGCGATCACTGCAGAAAAAAGGGAACTGCATAGAGAAACAAAAAAAAAGTATCACCCAAATACTGTTGAAACAACAGGTATCAAAGGCAAAACTCATTCAATAGACGCACAATGCATATGTTCAAGAAAACCTTTTTTATCCAGTGGACAATCATCGTCCCTGTAGAAGGACATTCCTCCAATATTTTGAAGTGCGCAAGCATAGGATCCCATTTAGGGCGAAACTCATCATCCCAGAAGAAATCTCTAACCAGCTCCGGAGTTGCATCCTCAAAGACCGTTCTGCTACGGTACACTACAGGTCCCGTCTGATAAACAAGATGCACAGTAAGGTTTTGATGCATAAAATTTTCAAGCAACAATGAGAAAGGAAACGAAGACCTGAATTCCTACTAGATCTCACAAGTGGAAAGGGTTTCAGAAAACTAAACTAAAAAGATTTCTAGTACCCAGAAATATTTTATGCATACAAACAAAGTCATCAGGCATTTCCAAACCTGATGCCCTAGAATATGCTTCCTGTGACATTTTGCAATTTTAAATTGAGAAGGGGAAAAATAGAAAAGGTCTGAAGTTCTTTAGTAAGTCAGCCACACAACAATACAAGGAGTAAGCTACAGGTATGTTTCAGTAATTTGTCTAACCTAGCAATGGTAAAATTAGGAATTAAGTTGTTCAGTTTTCCTCCCTACAGTGCGAAAGAAGCATACACATTCCCTCTTCGGCATAGGTACCTCATCTTAGTATGCCTCTGTAACCAAAAAAGAAATCATTTGGAGAATAGTGTAGTTAATGAATCCAACTAGGCATGTACTCCATCCTGTTTTCTGTAGAGAAACCAACTGGATGCATGCATGAGTTGTGATTATTATCCTATATCCATGCCCATGTCACATCATATCTAACACGAGTATTTTGCTTCTTTGGAAGAGCCAATTACAAAATTCACTATCCCCTAAACTAAACTGTGAATACCAAGGCTTGGACAAACTTTTCCAGCATTTGAAAGACAAGTCGTGCATTGAACAAAGTAAAAATCTATGCAAGTAATTCCCACTGTGACTTTTCCAGCATATAGAAAAAACACTCATTCTGAAGTCGAGGTCAATTTGTACCTCGGGCTCATGGCGCCAAGCTTGGTATGCCATGTTTGAGGTGGAGCGTTCCATCAGATTTTGCCACCCCATTTCCCCATCCTTGCTTTCAAGCAGATTCAATAAGTGTTCAACATCTTTCTCAGTGACAACATCCTCTATCAGAGATGTTGCATTGCTGGGCCTGCCAGGAAGAAAAAAAATTAGTCGTCAACAAACAGTGGTGACATGTCCTAAAAATCAAGGTACAAAAGTTTACAACACATGGTGGTAAACAGAAAAATCTCAACTTAAGAGTTGAAAGGGAAGCACTTAAACCAAAATGACATCTATTTTAGCTTCCCTCTTGTGGATCTGAAAATTACAATTACCTTCTTGTCAGAGTTCGTCACTTCGGTGTTAACAAAAATGAAACAATTACCTAATTACCCTCTCATCTTAAAGAAAAAATGCATGCAAGAGACTTGAATTCATAGTTTCTAATTGAAGTTGTTGATTGTGACATAGCTCTTTGGATGTCCCTTTGTCTATTAGTTTTGTTTCTCTATGTTCCTTTGTTGCCTAAGATTTGGAATTTATGTGGAAAATTGAGGGCAACACGCACACCAATTGTAAGATTTGGCATGTGCATATTATCCTCTACTAGGGTGCCTTTCGGCTGGCATTCTGAAGTACTTTTGAGTTTTGGCTACAACACTTTTTGCTTTCAAAAGTAAGAAAAATACTCGAAAATGAAAATAAAAAGATGTGAAGCTGAAGACCAGGCCAGTATTTGCTTTCAGAAATTCTAGAAGTATTTGCTTTCACTTTCAAATTGCAAAGTATTAACGGATCTAATATATAATTCAAACCAATAGACTAAGATATCTTTATTTGTTGAGGTGAGAATCGGTAGGTTTTTCTGGAGGGGTGTTGGTGGGCCGGTGGTGAGAGAGAGAGAGAATTTTTTTTTTTGACTTGACGATTGATTGACGGAGGGGTATTTGTTATGCGATTGGAAACCTCAAAGGGTAGGATGTAAGTTTTAGAACCTCAAGGAGTTAATTGTATTTGTCAGAAGCCTGAAGGCAGGTATTTGTAATTTACACCCTAATTAGTCTGTCTTGGTGGTATGCCCTCAACCTAAAGATATGATTCAGGATACTTTTGTAAAACTAGAAGGCAAGTTTATTCATTATCATGTTCACCTTGTGTGCTATTGTTTACATTATAAATCCATAGAATTAAAGTTGAGAAAAATTGTTCTTAATAGTTAAGAATAAACAACTTGAATTCTCAGTACTTTATTCTGAAAGATTCCTCGACATAGGATTATTAAGCAGATAGACTAACACATGTTATACTTAATTGGGAGGGTGACTAGTCTCACTTATGTTGAGACACTAAAGTAAACATATGAGTACTTATTAGAAAACAAATTTACTAAACATGACTGTGTGTGAACACCTATATCAAGTTTTACTTTCATGTTAGATAGATGATCAATAGTTACAGTTGTGCATGCATTTGCTAGAGAACAAGTTCACTGAATATGACCATGCATGAACACCTATATTGTGTTTTATTTACATGTTCAACAGTTGCAATTGTGAATGTAATTCACATACCTAAAAACACCATAGTTGTTCCAAGTCTTGTAAGTGTAATGCTAGGTTTTAACAAGGGCAAAATTCATTTCACCCCCCTATGGTTTGATGCTGGAGCACTTTACCCCATGTGATTCAAATATAGGCATATCGGCCCCTTATGGTTTTGGACTAAATTGCAATCTAACATCTATTACCGTTAGCAGTCAAAAGACTATTTTACCCTCGCACGGAAATAACTATTTTTCTTTGTATTTCTTCTATTATATACCTAATTTTAAGTCAATCACTTATTTTATTAATTAAACCATTTATTAACACAACTTCGTATTTATTTAACTTAATTATTCACACTATGTCAAAAAAATTATTCACATATATATAATTATTTAGTTTAATTAACTTCTTAATTACATACAGATATATTCCTAATTATTTAATCTAATTATACACACGTATATATACATACATACAAACATATCTATATATCTATCTATATGAATTCAAAAATTGCATAATTTCTCAACTCAACAAAGCATTCTATGAACAGTACATCAATTCGGTTCACCATTAAAAATTCTTCAAATTGTCTCTTTTGCAAACAATAATCAATCATCGAGAACACCTTTTCGAACGAAGCATTGAAAGAAGACGAAGGGAAGGGAGGGAAAAAGAAAAGTACATGGGTGGAGAGGAGAAGCTCATAGTCGTATATATATATAGACACACATGGAGGGTTAATCACACAGCCAGGGCTAGGAATAGAAGAGGGTGTTGCGGCGGTAATCAGAAAATGGATATGGAGTGATTCGAAATCAGAGCGTGCAGCTAGGAATAGAAGAGGGTGTTGCGGCGCTGATCAAAAAATGGATATGGAGTTATTCAAAATCAGAAGAGGGTGCAGCGCCGGTGGTCAATGAGGCGAAATGAAGTGGCTGGGGGTGATTCTCCGATGAGTTTTCAACAAAGATTCCATCGTTGTCTCCAGCGGCAGTGCGTTTGCCGAGCAAGCAAGCAGAGGAAGCAGGGGAGTCTAGCAGTGCTACTTTGACTGCAAAAAAGCTGATCAGCGTCATCAGCTGCTGGAATCATGCCGTCGTTGCTGAGTAAGAGAGGGGTTAGGGTTAGGGTTAGGGCTAGGGTTTAAGTTTCATATTGATTGGAGAAGAAGATAAAGCGAAGGGCATGCCTGTCTTTTAACATTGAATTTTGACTTTGACTTCTATTTTTTTCATTGCCAACTCTCAATTTTGGCAAGTGTGGAACACTCTCCGTCATTTTAGACGGAAATAATAACGGCAAGGAGGCAAAGTGCAAATCAAAACCACAAGGGAGTTGTCAGCCTATTTTTGAATCATGGGGGTAAACTGCTCCGAGCTCAAACCACAAGGGGATAAATTGAATTTTTCCCTTTTAACAATATATTATGTTTATATTCTAAACAAGAAATATGAACGCACATTGAATGGACTTAGTTTGACATACATGGAGAATCTATCACTTTCAAGTAAAAAGGGAGAATATAACTCAAGGAAGACCTCAGCCAGAGCAGAGTGATAATTAAAAATGAGTTTTTAATTTCACTAATGTAGGTTCATATAAATAAACATTAGAGATTGATGTCAACTATAAATTATCTTTGTTAAATATAAATGAATATAATGTTAAATAAGAAGTAGTAGGATAACTTTTTTCCCTCCTCTTTGAGATTTGTTGGGGAGGTCTTATCTCAATTGGAAGCGAATTATTTCTCGATGAAAGCAAGTTTCCTACAATTTTCTAACTTCGGAGAGCAAAATTGAATTTTTGAGTAAGAAACGTCACCCAAGTACGAGTTTCATCCTACTACGTCTACGACTCTAGTGATTGTCTTCTCCCTCTCCCATACTCTATAGAAAGCTTATGAGTTTTGGGTTTGAATTTTGCTCCATCTCCATGCGGTAGAGGTCAGATGATGGAACTTCTTTTGGCTTAGAGTAACTCACTCATAGCTCAAGCATAGAATTAAATTTTGCACCATGTTTGGATGGCAAGAATGTAGAGGTGGAGTAAGAATCTCATTCCAAGTCTCTTTCACTATGCTGACAGGCTGGGCATAATGATCTCGGACATCGCATAACAAGGTGCCAATAGAGGCCGAACCGAACATTAAAAATTCATAATAATAAAACAAAATGGAGTTAAATAATTGACAAAAGAAATTCATAATAATTGACTATAGGTTATGTCTTAGAGCTATACTAAATTAGCTAATTGTTTTATTAGCATTTTGAACATCATAGTAGATCATGTATAATAGACTCAAAACATCTCCAATCTCTTATTGCAAAAATATAAATTACATTAATCACCAATATCGGTAAGGCCAACCAAAAACACCAGCAACATCATCACAAAACAATACCTCAAGTAAATTGTGGTGTAGATCAAACAATGGAACCTAAAAAGCACAGACATTACACCAACATGCCGACAAGATAATTTTTAAAAAATGCAACACAACACATGAAGAACATGGGTATGATATATAATTTTATATTTATTATATATCATTTATATAAACATTTCATTCAAATATAATAATAATAAAAAGAAACATAACACTAATATGTAAAGCATAAGACATTAATATGTGTAAATCTCCATTATTTCTCTTTTATCATTGTATCCTACATTATTTTATTCAAACTTATGATGTCTTTTATGTGTGTGTGTGTGTGTGTGTCCCAAAGTCCGAAGTGTTTGGGTCTAAAAATAAATAAATAAAGGACATGTTGGACAGGTGTCGGTATCCAATATATGTCCATGTCAAAGTTGCCACCTTCAAAGTGTTTGTGTTCCATTCCATGGATGGAAAACACACACGTTATCCGAAGTTGTCATATATGTCAAGTACCATGGTTTCAAAACTTCCTATCTATACATAAATGCAATTCAAAAGCACCAAATGCCTATCTCAACAACCCATTCAAAAAATGTCTTTTATGTGTGTGTCGCAAGTCTGAAGTGTTTGGGTCTAAAAAAAATATTTTAAGTTAAAAAAGGACATGTTTAGACAAGTGTCGGTTTGAATATATGTCCACGTCAAAGTTGCCACCTTCAAAGTGTTCATCTTCCACAGATGGAAAACACATTATCTGAAAAATCCAACTACATCAACAACATTGCCATATATCGTCAAATACCATGGTTTCAAAATTTCCTATCTATACATAAATTCCATTCAAAAGCACCAAATGCCTATCTCAACAACCCATTCAAAACATGTCTTTTATGTGCGTCAAGTGTTTGGGTCCATTTTTTTTTTAAATGACATGTTTGGACAAGTGTCGGTTCTTATATACTATATTATATGGACTTGGGCACGAGTGTTGGATGTGAGTACGTATTTAGAAATCGAACTCATCAAACCATAAATTTAAAAGTTGACTTGATAAAAAGATGTCATATTTTTATATTTTTAATTAAGTATGTGAGATAAAATGGTACTACATATAACTTACAGTGTCAAAAGGATATTTATAGCAATTATACAACAATATGTAGATATAATAATAATTTTATATACAATTATATAAGAAATATCCGTTGAAAAGTATCCAGCACATGCCCCATCCCCTTGTCCGAGTGTTGTGTGTCAAATACCAAGGTTTCAAAACTTCCTACCAGGGCTTTAAATATTACCTGTTACATCTAGTATCAGCCGTTAATATATTCACTAATATATTGGCTTATACTGTCCCGTACTCTCCAATATCAGCCACCATATCACCAATCCAATCTAGATATTTCGATACCATTATTTAAAACCATATTCCTGACTAACAAAATGGCCTTGGATAGTGTCAGAGTGGAGAACCCCATTTGATGGGACTTACTTGGTTTGGTTTGGTTTGGTCTGGTCTGTTTTGGTTTGGTTTGGTTTGGTTTATTTAAAACCATGTTCCTACCTACACAAAAATTCAAAAGCACCAAATGCCTATCTCAGCAACCCATTCAAAACATCAAATTCCATACAATCACCAAGTAGCTTTTAATTGAAAAACCTAAGGTTGTGCCTAGATCATAAGTTTGAATAGAAATTTGTTAAGGGAAACCCTTAAAAAAAAGACTTTTATTTAATTAATTAACTAATATTTCATTCATATTTTTTTCATTTTATTGTTTCTTAAATCCATATGATCCAAACACACCAATTATCATAACATACCTCTTTCTTCTCTTTTTTTATAAATTTATTTATTTATTTATAACCGACATTATATATATAAATGAAAGTAAATCACATCATAAACAAAAAAATTCGAGAAATTGAATTTATGATCGTACTCACTCGATATCGCCGCCACTACCATCCACCGACACAATCGCCGGCGAGTCGGAACCCGAAGCCGCGGCCGCAGCCGCCGACTCCTTTCCTTTCCCTCTAAACCTAGACCAAAGAGTCCGACCAACAGAGAAAGCCGAGAGCGCCGTGAAGGCAAACCAGAGGCGCCGAGCTCCGAACCCCGGCGGCAAAGTCCAGGCGAACCGGAGCTTGGACCGGAGCCCTAAATAAACCAGTCCGGTCCACCTAGGCCGCCAAGACCAGCCGATCACGAGCCCGATCATCACCGCGACCCAAATCGGGACTGCGCATAACAAAATGTCGACGAATGTTTCAACCACCACTGGCCTCTTCATCAATTCCATGAAATTCGACAAACTCTCCTCCATTTCAGATCGATATATATACACATACGCATGTGTGTGTATATATATATAGAGAGAGAGAAATGGATGAGGCTTGAGCTTGAGAGATCTCAAAATAGAAGAGACAGAGAGAGAAGCCTGGAATTTTTAGAGAGAGAAAGAGAAGAGAGAGCGTACAGGGTTTGGGGCGGGTTATAAATTGTACGATGGTGTGACGTGGCGCTGTTAAAACCGTTGATTGAAGAGTGATGAGGAAAAGCTTTTCGCAACTCGTTTGAGGAGCGTGGGTGGAACTTGGTTTGGCTAATAGACAATTGAAGGGTATTTTGGTCTTTTTATAGTTTGGGTTGTTGTCACGTGTTTATAGGTGATTGGGAGTCAAGAGTTGTCATGTTAAAAGTTTCCTGAATTTTTATATTTTGGGTGAAAATTTTTAGATTTTTTAGGTTAGGAAGAAGGAAGATGCTCTTCCTCATGGGGAGATTCTGTTAAATCAGATGCTGTAGAATGCTTAACGTTAAGGGTGCGGAAAAGAGGAGGCGACGAATTCGAAATTAGCGGCGAATCTGTTTTTGGTTGTAATAATCTAATTATATTAATGTTATTTTTATAATAAAAAAAAATAGAAAGAAATGCTTGGATTGGGCAATTATTTATTGTCCCCAAAGACATTAATATAAAAGAAGAGTAATGTTAGCAGTCTTAAATATTTTATTAAGATCGAGTTTGGCATCTTCAAAAAAATTAAAAAAATCAAAAAGTCATTATTTTATTTAAGTCACATCACTTCTCTATCACATCACTTCAAACTCAACCCATATCCAACCCATATTTCATAAAAAGTCAAAAAGTGTACTTATTTAGGACACCCCAAATGTCTTATATGGGTGTAGAGTTTACATAAAATTTGTGTGAATCACATACTCATATAAAATATTTGATAAAATATTTAAAATTCTTAATATTTTTAAATAATTTTTGACTTGCAACATAGAGTTGTCCTACACCTGATGTTGTGAATATGTGTCAATATATCGAGGACTCACCATACTGTTTCACAAAGGGGTTACCAATATGGAAGTTAAAACTGATTCAGAACAAGCCGTGCACCAAATTCAACATAGTCCAAATCCAAATTCTCCTCTCAAGGCTCTCATTGAAAATACAAAATTTCTTCTACAGAGATGCCACTGCTCACTGCTCCATACCTTGAGAGAGGGAAACAAAGTAGCTGATAGGTTAGCTAATATGGGAGTAGCTCGGGAAGAACATATAATGATCCTTACGGATTCCCCTATTGAAGTCATAGCTCTCCTCATAGACGACATGACTAGAGTATCTGTAGTAAGGAACTAACCCTCTGGTTGCTGTATTGAACTCCTTTTCTCTTTGTTTGCTTTAATTTCCTTTGAATAAAAAAAAAAAGAAAAAAAGAATGTGTGTCAAGAAAGGTAGTTATGACAATTTCTTCCCTAAATGATTTTTTTTGAGTGAGAAACATATAATAAAAAAATGAAAATAAAAACACAATAATAATGTTCAAAATTAAATATTATGTCTTGTTGACAAGTTTAAAATTGAGATTGTTTTCAGTTGGCTAATTCAACTGGACCATTCAATTTGGTTTATTATGGACCAATTTTGAGTTCATGTTAACAAAATGAATTGTTTGTTTTTGTAGATTCCATCAAATAGATTATTCATGTTAAAAAGTAGGTTTATCTGGCATTAGTATTCACTTAATCAGATTATATTTTTCTTTAAAAAAATGGACGGATAAAGTAATTATTAATGTCTGATGAACTTAATTTTTTATAAGTATAAATTACTTCATAGAGTCTACAAAGATGAACCGTTTTAATTGTCGAGATAGACTTGAAATGGGCCTACAATAGGCTAGATTGAAAAGTTCAATTGACTTAGCTAGAGACAATCCAGGTTCTTTAAAATTGATTGTTTTGTCGAGCACGAATTGATTAGTGTTAAAATAGGCCCGGTATTAACTAATTAATGTTCAACAAGCCAGTTAATTTTAAGTCAATTATCGATTTCACATATTTTTCTAATAATTTAAGATAATAAATGGAAGAGCTTAATAATTTGCAATCTATTCACATATCTTTGAATTTTTCTTTTTCTCTTTTTAGTGTTAATGAAATTCACTTTTTATTGTTGACTCAGAATAGTTCTATATTATTACAGTGCAACACACACATCTTTCAATCCTTATTTGCAATCCTTCTTCTTATATCTTTTGCCATTTCAAGTGGTATACTTTGTGTTGTTATGGAAATGACCCATTATAATGGTTACAAATAGAAGTGGAAGATAAGATTATGTTAGATTCATAGTAAATTATAAACCTTTTACTAGAACTACAATTTCCCACCATGCATAAGATTGTGTTCAACTCATGAAAAGTCTATGATATCAATCCATAATGCATAAATGATAGTAGTTTTTTTTATAAGAATTTTCATATCGTATCCGAATATTAGATAATACTTTTAAAGTGATTTATGACAGGAGAATTTACACTATTCAAGAATAATTGTAATAATTCATCAATCCAACCAAACTAAAATCCAATAAACAATAACAATCTACTAGTTGAACTTTTAAGGAAAAGGTAACACTCACAAGAACAATCTCAAATGGGGAACTGTTCTAAATTTTTTTTTTTTTAAATATTTGCATAAAAATAAAAATGATATGAAAACAGTGAGTTTTAAAAATGTTTTAGCATTCTTGGTTTGGGAAAATTATCAAAAAGTCTCATATGCGATCAGTTACTCCAAATAGTCTCATGAATTTTTTTATACATTGCTAGGTCCTCTTTGTTTTGACAATCTTACCATAAGATCTTATTTTAAATTTTGGCATGATTCGGTGGACATTTCCACCATTCCTCATTGAGGGACGCCATCTTAGGGAAGTTAGATCCAATTTTTGGATCATGTTTTCCGTCACTTTAATGTAAGAATGTCACACACTAAAAAACTCAGTATATTTTTAAAAAACGTAACACTACTCCAACGTAACACTAAAAGACTCCTCCAACATTATAATGTAACACATTAAAAGATCACCTTAGTACCTTTTTTTTTTTCTTTCTAAATGTAACACTTCAACACTCCAACGTAACATACTAAAAAACTCCTTAGTGTACTTTTCACAAGTATAACACTCCTCCAACATAATACACTGAAAAACTCCTCCAACGTAACACAATACACTAAAAAACTAATTACTGTATTTTTTTTCCAAATGAAACGCTTCTCCAACGTAACACATTAAAAAACTCCATAGTATACTTTTTTCAAACGTAACTTACTAAAAGGCTTCTTAGTGTACTTTCATAAAACATAACACTCCAACATAATACTAACACACCAAAAAACTCCTTAGTATATTTTTCACAAACGCACCACTCCTCCAACGTAACACATTGAAAAACTCCTCAAATGTAACACTATAATATTACACACTACACTAAAAAACCCCTTAGTGTATTTTTTACAAACGTAACACTCTTCTAACAACATACTAAAAAACCCCTCAAACATAACGCTTTGATGTAACACACTAAAATAGTCCTTAGCGTATTTTTTCTAAACATGACACTCCAATGTAACACTAACACAATAAAAAACTCGTTAGTGTACTTTTTCCAAACATAACACTCCAACGTAACTCCCCAAATGTAACGCTCTAATATGATGGGCAAATGAGTCATTACATATCCAAAAAGAATAAATGAATCACAAGAAAAAATATAACACTATATGGATCACAAGTCTAAAATATGAGACTTATTGATTAATCTTCCTTTTGGTTTTCCCATTTTCAAAAACAAAACAATGAAAATTTAAAATATATATCATTTCATATCTTTTTCATTTTTGTACGAAAATAGTTTTCAGAAATTCAAGAACAACTTCTTGGTGTTTTCTATAAAAAGAAGGTTGTTTTCAGGAAAAAAATAAAAATAAAAAAGGGAAAATTAGTCTAGGGTCCCTCTCCCACTTTTCGTAATGGAAGAGATCCACAAAATTATTTTTTGATGTCTAAGGTCCCTAAACATATATCAGAGAAATTTGACTCTTTGTCTTTCTAAACATATATCAGCTCAGCTCTGCTCTGTTTTCTCCAAATGTCTCAACTCTCTCTGCTCCTATTATGTTTTTTCATTTACATCCAAAATCTCAACTTCACACACTCTCTCTCCTCCGACGGCGTCTCTCTCCTCTCCCTAAAATTCGTCGTCTATCACGGAGGCGTGCGGCGCATTCTCCGATTGGAACGAAGAAGCTCGAAACCCTAGTCTATCTCCGACGACGGAATCGGACTTTTGGTCACCATTGCCACAGAAGAGATCATCGGAGATGATCGGAGACGTCAGAGATGGAGTTCCCGGGAAGGCTTTTAGTTCTGGGTCTCTGGTTTGGTTAACCGGTGGTCATCAACTTCAGTTTTATAACTGTGAGAGAGCTAAAGAAGCTCAGATCCATGGAATTGTGACTCTGGTTTGTATTCCTACGTCTTATGGTGTTCTTGAAATGGTTTACAGGCAGGCACTAACAATTAGTATCATAGCAAGTCATAGCTCAAAAACAAAGTAGAAGATTTGAAATCACAGTTTCAAATTCAAGACTCTAATAATTTGTCACGACCCAAACCCGGCCCTATGGGTTTAGCACCGTAACCGGCCAGTAATCCGAGATTACCGGAGGCCTGCTTAACAGGAATACAGTAAAACAGAGTACAGGGCCTGGCGGAAGCCAATACAGTAATTAAACAATGTCCAATGAGCTGTGACAGTCTGTATGCCAAAAAGAGTTTTCATACATTTATACATAAACAGTACAGAACAGTATGCACAATATTTACATTCATTCAAACTAGGGACTCTACCCTAGATAGCGGTACAGTGAACAGTCAGTCTATACAACACAGTGAAACAGTACAGAAGGGGGAATTCTTAAAACACCCCTAAGCCTTAGCAGATAGGCTCGAAAACTCGCAGTGAGGCACAAAGGCTGGCTTGACAAAACTGGAGTCTAACCCACGCTCCTAGCTCCGATCTGGTGGCTGAGCACCTACATATATATATAAACAGTGAGCTAAAGCCCAGTGAATAACATAAAGCGTAAAGGGGTTTAGAATGA